GAGTGTTTCCTTCTGGGCAAAGCATTGAAATCCCAGACCTTCCTTGTCCAAGTACATCCAGGCCAAAAATCGCCCTATTTATTATGAATATATACTGTTAGTTGTGCCTGTACAGTTCAGTACACTTTGAGACTCTGTGGAGTCCTTCATTTGTGATTTTTGGTCTATTTTTTATTTGTTTTAACTTCCTTTCAGTATAGACTTGATTATACTGTAGAAGAGAGAAACTAACAGTTAAATCAGCCAGCTTTTGGGACAAGTTGTGGTATGCAATGTAGAAAAATGCAAAACTATGTCTTAATTTGGAGAAAAATCATCTCCTGTCATCTTTGCAAGTTGAAGTGTCTGGTGATACTTCAGTTTATTCTGTAGAAAGATCTGTGTTATTTGCCCTTTTTTGCATGTTCAGCTTGTCAGATCAAAAGTGGCAGGATAACACAAAGATTCATTTTCTTCTTTGTATTTTTATTTTATTTAAGGATTATTATTATTATTATTTTTACTCCACTGCTGAAGACCACTGGCAGAGTGGAGGGAAAAATTAAACTTTTCTTCTATAAAGCCAGTGACATGTACTTCATAAGCACTGTTAGATTGCAGACTATTTGGTATTTTAATATAAAAGGAAATTAAAAACTGGTGTATTTTATTTCTGTTGGAAAGATATTGAGTATAGTGTATTAACAAGGGTAAATGTTGATGTGACCTTTTTTCCCCCCGTTTTTAGTCAAATAAATAAAAGTACATTGAGCACAGCAAGTTTTTGTTTTATTAAAAGGTCTGCTTGAAGTCAAATATCTTAAATATGCTTATGTGGGGTGGCTTTACAGGTGTGAATTGTTGGATAGAAGAAAAAGGCACAGTAATCTATGCATAGGTGTAAAAACGGATATAGCATGACATATGAAAAGCATATACAAAGCCAGGTACCGTATGGCCACATGCTCAAGCAATGCTACATTACATACACCGCTTTATCAAAAAGCTATCAAACTTTTTCAGCATGATTATGCTTCTGTGTGAGGTCCAAACTGAAATCATTTACTGAAAGATCTGGACTGGCCTGCACAAAACCTGGACCTGAACCCGACTGCACACCTTTGGGATGAATTAAAGGAGCGAGTCAGATCCCATCATTCAATGGCAGAGCTTGACCCCACTGATGGGAGCAAGTCCCTGTACATCCATGATCCAATGTCTCATTAAATGCTCAGTAACCACATTTGGTGTTAGTGTATTTCAGTAAAAAGGATTTCATTAGTTCAAATAATTATCAAATAGGTAGCACTTAAACTTTTGCTTTAAACACACAGGGGTGGCCGGGGCTAGTTGTCACATGGGGAAGTTGTCACAAGGACTGTATCTAAAAAGGGTTTTTAAATCAATAGTTCACTTACACAAATGTGTGTTTCCTCTAGCAGTGGTTGTGTATGCTGCTTTCAAACATCCAGATCTAAACCTTCTTGAATTAGAATCATGTTTGTCAGTCATTTAGTCCATTAAACTAAAATTACAATATATATCATTTTGTTTAGGGTATGGGGTAACAAGTGAACACAATAATACCACACTTAATGGTCTACTATATAATGAAGACGAGGATAAGGATATACAGTATATATTTTGTCATATAAATGTCAGTTTGGGGAGAGGTGTCACGTGTTTATGATGATACAGTATATTCTATGTATAATTTTGCTTCCCTTACAAAATAGTTATTCTTGAAGTTCATTTTTTTTAAATAAACTTACATAAAGTTCAAGTATATTTTCCAAGTATACTTGATGTAGTGTAATTTCAATGTACAGTACTAGTAGCATACTTGTAAGTGTACTGTTTCAATACTTGGGACATTTAGGGCCTTACAACACTTTGTTATAATTACTGAACTTAACAGCTAGCCAGTGTAGAGATGATAAAGGAAAGGAAAGGAGAGGACGTGACGTGTGGCGTCCCATACTCAGAATTTGTGCTCTGCATTTCACCCATACAAGTGCACACACACCGTAAACACCAGTGCCTTGCTCAAGGCCCAGGGTCTTACCTCGGTCATGGTATTGAGGGTGGAAGACAGCGCTGGATATACACTCCCCCACCTACAATCCCTGCCGGTACCAAGACTCGAACCCATGACCATTAACCATTAGGCCTGGCCTGCCCCCTAAAACTGAGGTGATGTGTTCAAAGTAGGAGCTCAAGCAGCTGCATTTTGATCTGTAGCTTGTTTATTGAAGATGCAGGATAACCACATAGTAGTGCATTACAATAATCCAGTCCAGAGGTCATGAATGCATTAACCAGCTTTTCGGCCTCAGAAACAGATAACTTGTTCTTGGCAATGTTTCTAAAGGCCAATTCACACCACGCCGACAAACGGCAACAGTCATGTTCGTCGGGTTTTGTCAGACAGGTGTGTATCTCTGTTGGTGTCTGTTGACTTGTTTTCAACGATTGAACGTGTTGAATCTGTGTTTGTGGGTCTTGGACCATCTGAGAAGTGACGTAGCCTACTGTATTCTGTCGGCTGTCGGTGTTGGTCAGAGTCTGTCGGTGTGAATTGGCCTTAAGATGCAAGAAGGCTGCTTTTATAACACGTGGAATGTGATTTTTTTCATTCATTAAATAAACTGACATTAATTAACATGTATAACTGACATTTTTGATAACAGAAACGAGACATGACGACAGAAAAAATGTGGTAAAATATCACATTTGTTGCTCAGTTAGGCTGTTATTCAGTTTTCAGTTAGCCTAGTTCTTGTGTTATGATCACATTTTTAATGTTGTAGAGTTCATTTTCAGCAATATTCCGTGTAAAGTCAATGCAACATGTTGTAAGAGTTGTACAAACTGTGTTTGAAATACGAGTTGTGTTTTAATTTTTCGCATGAACTAAGTAAACTCATGAATTTTACTCTTAGTGTAGGCTATATGTTTTATATGTTGTTGAATATGTTTGTTTGTTGTTTGATTATAAAGTGTTAATAAACGATACATATATGTGTGTGTGTGTGTGTGTGTGTGCGCGTTTTTGTGATCTATGAGGACACAAATTTGTATAATAACATGGGTATGACATAGGTATTACAACGAGAAGGTGATTTATGAGGACATTTTCAGTGTCCCCGTAATTCAAAAGGCTTATAAATAATTCAGAATGAGTTGTTTTGAAAATCTAAAAATGCAGAAAGTTTCCTGTGAGCGGTAGGTTTAGGGGTAGGGTTGGTGTAGAGCAATAGAATACGTTGAACGTACAGTATAAAACCATTACGCCTATGGAGAGTATCCATAAACCATAAAAACAAACCTGTGTGTGTGTCTGTGTTTTTTTAATCATTTCTAATTAAGATACACATTATCTTTTTTTTTTATAATCAAAGATGATTATAAAGATAATCAAAAGATTTTATAATCAAAGATGTTTATTGGTATACATCTTGCAAATAACATTATATGAACTAAAAAAATCTGGGAAAGGCAGTTTACCTGAATTCACCCTATCATTTTAATTAGACCTCTTTTTAGTTACTTTTTAGAAGTATACAAATAGCACAACTGAATAAATGTGTTTTTGTAAAGGTTGTTTTGTTTTATAATTCTTTGCTTACATTTTGTGAGGCTGTTTACTTGGTAGGTTCAGGCAGCTTATTTCTAATAGCAAAAGTTGGCATGTGCTAGTAGAAAATGTTACAATGTTTACAAGAGACAGACAGATAGACAGACAGACAGACAGCAGCGCTCACGTGCTCTCAGTCTAGCACGTGCCGCTCAGTAAACGACACGATCTCAACAAACAGCAGCGCGTGCCTGACCCTTGTGACCTTGCGACGACCTCGGTCAAGCGTGGGCCAGGGGTTCATCGCCCCAGACAGACCACATTCCTGTCTGGAGTCTGCTATAAATAGCTCGGGGTGAAGATGGGTGACACACACCTTCCTCAAACCGGACATGATGCAGTCCTCCTCACTGACCGAGCGCGAGAAGAGCATCCCCGCAGCTGAAGGCTGTTTCCTGATGTGGCGGGACTACATGGACCTCCGCAGGACCCTGTCGCAGCTGCTGGAGCATCGCGACGGAGCACAAGCCGCAGATGTCAGCGAGACGCCCGCGGAGGGTTTCATGAGAGCCGGCTCCAGCAGCAGCGTCTCCAGCACCTCCGCCTCCTCCAGCCGCGACCTGCGGACCCCGCGGGACTCCTGCGGATTCTGCCGACAAAACGGAGAGACGCCGGTGGTGTACATGAGTCACAGACTGAAAGCCCGAGACGGACGGATCCTCTGCCCGATCCTGAGGAGCTACGTGTGTCCGTTCTGCTCCGCCACCGGAGACTGGGCGCACACCCGCCACTACTGTCCGCGGAGAACCACACCGGGGACCGGCGACGCGTGAATCCGTGGACTCTGTCAACACTGTACGTCTGTGTTTCGACGTTTGTTGTGAAAATGTGTTCAAAAAAGTTGTTTACATGTTCAAAACGTGGTTGAAACGTGTTTTTATGGTTCATTTCAAAATAAAAATATTTTTCTAGTGCATCAAAAACAGGATTGTTTTTTGAATTGTATTTAAATCCGTTCCTCGTGTATATGATTTGGCATTTAGTTGACAGTCATATAATAATAATTTGTCCAAATCAATACTTAATCCAAATTGAATGCATTAATGAAAAACAGCAAAATCAACACCTGCTGAATTGTACAATTTTAGGGTTACAAATGGTACAAATTGAACAGGCTTCAGTTTAACATCTGATGTGAATAAACAGGTTACTTTACAGTTTGTGCATCAGTTTAAGAAAAGAATTGTCTCTTGAGTCCATCTGCCAATTTAACACGTGAAGGAAATCTTTTCAGGTATTTGACTTCTTTGATTTTAAAAACATGCTAAAATATTTTGAAAGTTAAACTGATATTAAAGAAGGAAATTTTACTCTCTGAAGTAATATTATTTTTATGAGAATAATTTGGCCATGCTGACTGCACTAAGCACCGTAGGTGGTGCTATAAACCAACGGTATGTTATGCGCCACACAAACTAGTGAAGAAGAAGAAGAGCATGCGGTGGTGCGGGAAACATGAACACGGTAAATGTTTGTACTTGTGTGTCGTTGAACGTTAAATATTTATATATTCAGCAGACACCGGGACAGTTGATGCTTTTAGAAGCTGCTGTCGAAGTTGCTTTGATAGATACGATGTGGTGGTGGTTGGTTTTCAGGTAGTTTACAGATCCTTTATTAGACAAATGTCAGATATAAACAATTTCTCAACATTACTGAGCAATTGTTAATTAGTTTGTTTTCTAGTTCTCTTTAATTCGTAATTAACTCCACATTTTTATAGATATGTAAAAGAAAGATACTAAAGACATACGTAATGTAACGTAATGAAGTAATTACAGATCCCCCAGACAAGCTTGCAAAGTTTAAAATCATGTACAGCAAATATATCTGAAACTTATGCCTGTGTGTGTGTGTGTGTGTGTGTGTGTGTGTGTGTGTGTGTGTGTGTGTGTGTGTGTGTGTGTGTGTGTGTGTGTAGTTTTCTGGTGCATTATGGGCTCATCTCTGCTTTCTGTTGCTGAGCAGCTTTTGAAAGACCTTCAGAGAACTTACTCGGAGACAAACCAGAGTAGGTTTAAAACTCACACACTCACTGATGTCTTGGCAGCTGGATGAAGCCATTGGGGGATGAAACATTAAGTAACAATTGCAGCTGAAAAGCAGAAAAACTACTAATCATCCTGCAGTTATCTCATCAGTCTTCACAGACAAACTCACACTGTACAATGGGCTCCAGAAATCTCTGATCACTAGTGAAAATTTGCATATATTGTGAAAATTATTTTAATACTAAAACAATTTTTAAAGGGGTCATATGATGCTTTTTTAAAAAGATCATTATTTTGTGGATTTGGTGTAACAGAATATGTTGACATGCTTTAATTTTCAAAAAATACATTATTTTTCAAATACTGTACATTATTGTAGGTCCTCTATCCCCCGCCTCTCTCAAACGCTTCGTTTTCTACAAAGTCCCTCCTTCCGACAAGCGCAGTCTGCTCTGATTGGCCAGCTGACCCAGTGCATTGTGATTGGCCGAACACCACAAGCACTCGTCGGAAATGTAACGCCCCTTACCATAATCGCGAGCTTCATCTTTCAAAATAAATGTAAAGACAGAGCCCGAAAGGGGAACAGAGTCGTGTGACAGACACAGTGATGAAGCTGGTATGTGTGCAGTACACAAGCCACGGTTAAGACGATTGTGTCTCTCTCTCTCTCTCTTTCTCTCTCTCTCTCTCTCTCTCTCTCACATGATGAGCAAAACTCCGCATTTGAACAGTCAGTAGCAAATACTTAAACTAATAACAAAACAATAGCTGATTCAGAAGTGCCAGATTGTCATAGCAAAGTCAGAATGACCTCCTCATCTCCTCATCCTCCTCATTCATTTTATGGACGATCAGCTTGTAACACTCCAAAGAGAAAGGAAAGCTTGAAATCGCATCATATGTCCCCTTTAATGTTAGAGATGTTTAGCTTCAATAATGTCAAGCATAAATTTGGATAGTAGGGTTAGTGGTCTGATACTGATATATGTATATTGTGCTCAAGTAGAAGCAAGAACATTCTATTATGATTCTAATTTACACTTAAAATAGCAGGATTTTCTGATATTTATTCTACTTATTTTAAATAGTGGCAATTCTCTGCACCTCAGTATTGTAGTACATTATAAAACAGTATGCAATAATAACGTATTTAGTGTAAATGATAACTTATTAACTTGTATAACTTCAAATTATTAAATGAATGCCACCTTTATTGGGACGATAAAGCCGTCCCTACACCTACCCTAACCCTACTCGATGCTTTATTTTCAACGTTTTGATTATTTCCTTCATTTTTATTGAAAATAAATGGCTTTCTGATGTGATATGAGATTTGAAAAGGGAGGGGAAAAGTTCGACAAAAGGCGGATTTGAACTCGGGTCGATCGCGTCAAAAACACGACGGCGCACGCTTTACCATCTATGCCACTGGAGCTGACTTTTTACAGCCATCTTCTGTAGTGTTGACTAGGCCAGTGTTTCCCAACCGGGGTGCCGTCTGTCGAGTGCAGGGTTGCCGTGTAAAAAATCTTTTTTTAATATTTTTAAATTGCTAAAATGTTCAAAAAAGCATCTATTATATAATATCCATTTCTGATGTCGCCAGTAATTAGAAATGCACCGAAATTTCGTCTGCCGAAAATTAGTTCACGCTCAGGTTTCACTTTCACATGGTGTGACGCTCTGCGTATTATCCCGCTCTATGCGTGTGTGTGCTCTGCTCAGTCGCTCCACTCGTATACCGTTCATGCTCATCGGAACAGCAAAGTCCACTCAAAAATTGAGCCGACAGGAAACATCGATGTAGTACAGTATTGTTTCTGTCTGCAATAGCCCTACTGTGCTGTAACAAGGTGTGGTATATGGGCAACTCTGGTAACGCTGCCCTCTCATTCACTGATCTGAAAAAAAATTAATAAATATCTTAACCCTACTGTTAGACCTACCTGAAAAACTAAAAAGCAATTTAATTCGAAGGCCTGTCGTTATTTTTTATTACTGAGTGAGCAAACATTTGTGAGATAGCTAGTTATAATAGTAATTAAATAATGTTTATGTATGTATAAAAGCCTACATTAAAATCTGTCATATAAATTGGTCTCTTCAATAGAAATTAGCCTACTGATTATCACCATTGATGGACAAAAATGTTTAATAATATTACAAATATCTGTATGACATTTATGTTCTGCAGTTCTTCCCTGTTGTACCGAATATCTATACTTTTCAAATGATCATATCGAAGTTAGAAATTCAAATATTGTGACAAAATTAATTTTGTAGGGGGCCACAAGTTTGTTAAAATTTCCAAAGGGTGCCGCGACTAAAAAAAGGTTGGGAAACACTGGACTAGCCAATCTCACATTGGTGGGCGAAGTTAGTGTAAATAGCCTGTGCTGACAAGGCACTTAATGACACTCCGTAAAGATTTTCAAAGTGTTCTGCTGTTCTCGGGCATTTGAGACTAGGGCTGCACAATAAATCGAAATGGAATCGAGATCGCCATTCGACAGAAGCTGCAATTGGTATGCGTATATTTCAGTGAAGCACGGTTCTGTGATCAGCAGTAAATCTCCATCCAAAGGCCAGAGGGCGCTCTCGCGCTGAAATTCCAAATACGCCTCGCAGAAGAAAACCATCGCTGCAGCTGAATAATCAGAAGATTTAACTGCTTTTATTGATTCAACGTGACTAATAAACACACGACTACGGCAATATACGGTTTATCTGAGTTCTTATTATAATTTTCATTAAAATAAAGTATATTTATAATGCAATGCCTTTATCACTGCTTAAATACTATGAAATATGTTGCGTGCCTTATTCTGTGTAAGAAGCCACGTCATCTCACAGAAGGATTTATTTCAAACACTCAGCTGACGTTATGAAGTGAGTTTGGAGTAAAAATGTTATTAAATGTGGTATTTTCACGTGCTTTCAGATGGAGCAGCATTTACTTCACAAAGCCGTAGTTCACTGAGAAGCTACGCAAACAGCTGTCATTATCGCGAACGATTTCTTCGATTTCAGAATTTCAGCGATTTTGTTTTTTTTGGCGTAACTTGTCAGTGAACTACGGCTCTGTGTAGTAAATTCTGCTCCATCTGAAAGCACGTGATGATGATTTACTGCTGATTACAGAACTGGCTTTACTAACAAAATGCGCATGACAATCGCATTCGATTAATCGTGCTGCCCTAATTTGGACCCCATGTGTCTCATACAAACATTTAAACAACTGATATCTAGTGAATAACAGTTTAATTGATTCTCAGGTAAATTTCAGAATAGATAGTAACTCTGTACAGAATCATCATTTTACCCTGTTAACAAACCCATCCCAAACTAGTCCCCAACTACGCTTTAAAGGCCACAGCTTGGCTATAATTAAATACAATCAAAACATCATTCAGTATATAATAATGAGAATCAAATGAAGATAAAATACCCATTCTTATATCACATTTACAATCACAATCAGCATATTTCTCTCACACAGCTATTACTGTCCCATTTCCAAACAGGTTAAGTACTTGGACCATTTTTTTTATAGGTTTAAATTAGCTTATCCATCTGCTTATAAGACACTTTTTTTCTTTTCTTTTCTTTTTTCAAATGCAGCCACTCTAGCTTAAACAACTGACATTTGATCAACATTTTAAAAAAATTAGGCTTAATGGTAAAAACTGCATGTGTGGAAGTGAACTGTAAAGTCAGTGACATTTTGAAAGTAGAAATAGCTGAAATTTCTATTACTGACACCGGATGGTGCACTTATATCAGTTTTTGATTGCTTAAACAGACAACACGTCCTGTGGAGTGGTGTTCAAGTTTCTTATGGTCCATGGTGTTGAGGTTTCCTTTCGCATAGGCTTCAAAGTATGGAGATTTATGTTCATATTTTTCCTACAACATCATGTTCCTCGGAGCCTATTTCTTAATGAGATGTTCAGTAGTCCAAAGCCTTGTATCAAATAATTGTGTTAAAATGTCAATATATTCATTGAGTAAATGTGAAATCCTTATGTGTGCAGACAATACTTAATGCAGAACATCTGAATAAGAGTAATGACATTATTCTGTTGGAATTTTGATGTCAAACAACACCAGAGAGAAATATCAAGGGAGTGATGATGGCTGTAGTGTTTTTGAGATTGAGATGTCCTTTCAATTTGTGCTTGTTTGGGTCTTTCTCCAGAGAACCATGGTGACCACAATAAACAACCAAAATAGGCTGGTTTGCATGACTGATTATTGGTTATTGGTATTGTGTTTAACATGCATTTAACTTAGTTATTTTTCCCAGATGTTATGTTTCATGTACTCAAATATGTTCCTTTTGTGCATTAAAAACATGCTTTGTGCTTTTACATTTTTCAGTTTTATAAAACACTATTAACTAATATTATTTCTTTTTCTCTTTCTTATAGTTCCAGATGACCTACTAATAGCGTAAGTATTTTCCCCTATCCTCCTCCTTAAGTTAGATTTACCATACTGTGAGATCTGGCCTTGAACTACAGACTGTTAAATATTTTGGATGCTCTTGACCTGAATTTGAGGAGGGTCAATTATAGCAGATGTGTGTATTATTGCCACTGAACACTGTACAGAAACCAGCGCTTGCCTCTTAACTGCCAGATGCACTCAACACAGGCTTTATCAAGCACATATGTATGTCTTTACTCAGTGCTCTCTTTCTAGACGTCATTGATTGAATGAATCATGATGTTAAAAGCGTCCTCAAACCCACAATGACAGTCATCAGGCTGCCATTGAGGGAAGCACTAAGCCACAGTAATTACTCTACTCTGGGAATCACATTCCTCCATAAATGGCTGTTCACATCACAAGTCAGCACTTTTTGCTTTTTTGGGCAATTGATTGTGGTTTCAGTGTCATCATCGCGTCATGTGTTCGCTTAGGTCTGCGTCTCTCTGAGACATTATTTGAATGTGGCTGGATGACTTTCAGATGATGCAGTTCCATACTTCCACTTTAGAATGTGTTGCTATAGGCTTGATGTCAAGACCAGATTGGCTCACAAGTGATATTGTTTTTGAGTTTTATATTAAGACAGGAAACGGCACTTGCTTTGGGTTAAAAGTGAGAGCTGAGGTTTGTTGCCCCTCAGCTTCCTGTGTACATTTTACTGTCTTATCTCACCTAGCATGGTTTCCTGTACCTACAGTTAAAGAATGAAACTTGAAAAAAATTAAACTTTGCCGAAAGTGTGCTCATTCTCAGGCCATCAAAATGCCGTTGGTTTCTTCATCAGAACAAATTTGGAGAAATTCAGCATTACATCACTTGCTCACCAATGGATCCTCTGCAGTGAATGGGTGCCGTCAGAATGAGAGTCCAAACAGCTGATCTACCATAAGTAATCCATACGACTCCAGTCCATTAATGAATGTCTTGTGAAGTAAAAAGTTGTTTGTTTGTAATAAACAAATCCATCATTAAGATGTTTTTAACTTCAAACCGTCTTCTATCCATATAATATTGCTTTCTACAGTGAAAAGGATGACTCGTCTGAATCAGGAGAGAAATACGCACACAAGTGAAAACGGTTCTAAACAAATATGTTGGTGGATTTTGATGTAAGGGGATAGACTTTTACACTGGTGGATGCGTTTTAATGAATTATGGACTGGGATTTTGGCCAGAAGCACTGGTGAAATGCCTTAATGATGAATTTGTTTCTTATGAATATGCAGCCATTTAATTCACAAGATGTTAATTGATGGACTGGAGTTGATGTTGATTATTGGATAGTGATGTTTATCAGCTGTTTGTACTCTCATTCCGACGGCACCCATTCACTGCAGAGGGTCCATTACTGAGCAAGTGATTTCGAGCTTTCGACTTTCTCCAAATCTGTTCTGATGAAGAAACACCTACATCTTGGATGGCCTGAGGGTGAGTTAAGTTTTAGCAAATTTTCATTTTTGCAAGAAATTTCTCTAACTCTCATTTTATTCTGTTTTACAGATTACGGTTTGTGTTTGGCCAATGTGCTCTTCAGGCGTTGGACCTGGTGGACCAGCGCTCTGTCACATGTGTGTCATCACCTAGCGGCCGAAAGGCATTTCAGGTAGGAGTGAATAAATGTCTTTGTCTGTTTTCTTTCCACACAGCCCCTGAACAAAACATATTTTCGTCATGTTTGGCTGTTAATGATGTATAGACATTTCTGCAACCAAAATATTCAGGCAAACTCTTCAAATTCTTGGTTTCGGCCAGATTAGTTTTGGAGGGCCGAAATCAATGACCAAAACACATTTTGACTGTCAACATCTCACACAATATAGACAAGCTACAACAGGTGAACCTTTCAGAAGTGAGGACCAAAAAATGATGCTAGTATAGCAATATGTCAAATTCTCCAAATATGGAGAATGGCTCATTGACTTAAACATTTCAAACATTGTGGTAAATCAATGATGTAACATAGTCCTATAATTATTCACAAGACTGCGTGTGCTTCTCTTGTTAGATGCTTCTCCTAATTATTCACAACAACACATTTTTCTGTCATAGATTGCAAGTGAATGTTTGTTTTGCTTTGCAACAATATCTGCATGAAATAAATTCTTTCCCAATGAGTCTCCAACACAAACACGGTCTTTAGAGTCCCTTGATATGAACACTGCAAACACAAAATAATCTCAAAAGGTACTGAAAATGTCTTTGTACATTTAAATTGTAACTATCGCAGGATATGTGTGTATTTGTATAATGTATGGTGAGCTTACATCATATTGCAAAATATATTTGTTCATTTTGTTGCATGTGATGGTGATTTGCAGTGTGAATTTGTGGGAAACTTGGATGCTTTTAATTCAGTGAGAGCAAAATAAAACTGACTGCATCAGAAGCTGCTGTTGTGGTGTCTGTCTGCCCTCTTCCCCTCCACTCCTCAGTTTACCATGGCCACTTTTGGAGCATTTTTCAAAACTGTGGTGAGGGCAAACCGGTGCTGAAATGGGGAGTTTCGTAACCTTTTAAAGAGTTGAGTTGTGTTAGTCAGAGTGACCTAAATCCCCTCAGTTTATGACTAGTCAGTCCCTGAAAATGTCCACACTATAGTCTACTACAGTCAGACGTATCAACACCACGCACAATGAACTCATCATGTACTCTCAGTCCCAGAGTGTCTAGAATGGTCAGCCAATGTCCAGGAGGGAGTAGGTGGGCGGAAAAGCCTCAGTTTCCCCATAATTCCTCACATGACTGACCGTAGATTTCAGCATATGTCTGTTACTCTGGGTTAAGTTTCCGTAAAAACACCTACGACGAGACCAAACAGAAGAAAAGCAAATAAAGAGCAAACATTACCAGAAAACAAAGTATAGTAATAAAAGTTAATAGCCCTTTTTATGACCTGCTGTGGTTCATCTTTAGACAGTCATTGATGTCTGTGTGCGTTTATCATCTCTATTTGTCATTGGTAATTCTAGGCTCAATTGTCTTTTTCTTTTTTTTTTACAAAGTGATTTAGTTCCTGTAATTGCATTTTTAGGTATTTTCCAGGAATCTTTTATGTTCTTGTTCAATAAAGTGATGGAAAAAAGTTTTTTTCTCCTTCAATTTTTTTAATTTTAAATTCTCATTGAGTCTGAGATCTGCGGAGCTTACTGTGTATCGCACACATGCAGTTTTTCTTTTCTGTTTTACTGCCCTACATGACCACAGGATGTCTTTTATCTAAAAACAATATTTTGAGATTTGAGAGCTCTGAACTGTAAGGCTGAGATGTACTACCTTGCAGTTTGACTGTCTCTCATTATTTCCAATTTCAGTCATATAAATATGTCCTCCTTTATTCTAGATTCCAAAAGGAAGGTCACTCTTTAAAAATCTTTTGTTTTGTACTTTCCATATTTGTAATGCACTGAAATCATTTTTCATTTTTGATGAACACCATAAGCAAAGTTTACATTTTAATTTATCTGAAAATTTAAAATGAAGTTTCCTTAAATTGGGGTCATTGGGTAATTGAAGTCGGTACTGTATGCTGTTCAGGGTGTTGTTGTGTTCTCGGGTAGTAAATTAAACAAGTCGTAGTGAAGCTCTTTGGCAAGGAGCTGCCTCTCAATATATTTCAGTTGTACAAATTTGACATCTTGCTACTTTAGCATTTTTGGTCATGGTGAAGTGTGTCCACACTGCTTACACATTTACCTGCTGTAGCTAATCTATGTTGTGTGCACAAACACTAACAAAACACTAGCAACTATTTTTGGATGATGATTTTGGCTCTCCAAAACTATGTTTTTAGCATCTTCAGTCACCAAAATTTGGGTGCTTCTCTACTTTATATGTCAAAGTCTGATTTCTCTGCAAAAAGTAGTATTATATAATAATGAGAATGAAATATTACAATATTATACTACGGGGGCGTTGAATGCTTGAGTCTGATTGGCTGACGAACCTTCTGAGGTGTGCCATTATTTTCAGGGAAACGCATGGCGAAAGTAGTTCCAGGCAGCTCTCTTGACCGCATTACAGTTCCATCTCACTTCGCATAGTTAACTGTAATAACGGAAATTAACATACAGTACCTATACAGCACACAGGAATTACTGCAATCACACGTGCTCGCACACTACGGTCACGCAGTTTGCACAAAAAGTGTTGTCAGCGCTGCTCTGAGGATTTTATCAGTTAACCTTCAGATATAGTGTAGCATACACATGACATTTCTCACTAGCGAGGTAATAACAGCGCTGTTTAGAGACGCTGCTGCAGAACACTATTGAGGGACACACAGAAGTAATTCTAATTCTCACAAGCTCTTTCTCTCTTTCTCTGTGTGTCTCTGTCTCTCTCGCTCTCTTTCTAATAACTCATTAATAACTGCATTAGAATGCTATCAACGGCTCAAGCCTCCATTACCAGCTTTAAAATTACATTTGGAACCAGCAAAAGAGGCGTTGGATGAGATGCGGAAGAAATAATCCTACTCACAATAGCGATTTAAGTACAAAAACCGGACGAATCCCTTATATATATCATCTGATTGATGTCTTTAGGTGTCGTAACCGTAGTATGAGCGGAATAATTGACTCCGGGCCCTTGAATTATTAGAAAAATAATGCACACCCGGGGTGTAATGGCCATCACCACCTCGGGTGTGCATTATTTTCCTAATTCAACGGCCCGGAGTCAATTATTTCTTACTTATGATTGATTTTTTTTTTATGACATGTTCATGTTATTACAGGATGTGGTGCGAATTCAGTCACTGTGTCCCGTGGCATGAAAAAACAGAGTTTAAATGATTGTTGAGTGACTGGTGTAAGTAAGGATGTCTTTGTGCATTAGGTTCCTTAATATGCAGTATAACATTATTTTTTATCGTTAGTGTGAAGATGTGGCACAATTGTTTTTAGGCTGATTAGAGTATTTCCTGCTTGTTGGAATGATCTGAGTGATTTTATGTAGATCAATTTGTACACTAAAGAAGGCAAAGCAAGTGAAATGATGTTGTGGATAAATGTAGCTGTTGAAATATTGTGCTGTGCAGAGATCAGTGCTTCTGCAGTCTACATACCCTGAGGTGCTAAATTGTTCCGATCACATTCCCAACTCTAAATTTGATTTTTTTTTCAGTAGCATCTTTAGTTCTGGAGCTCATTCATACTGAACGCAAAGGTGAATGTGAAGTTTTGTTCTGCAATTTATGTGATTTAATATTTGATAAACACTTCACAGTGTTTGGTCTTCTAGTCAAGAGGAACAGTATAAATGCAGGGATATTCAGGCCCACAGGAATCTGTGCCCACAGAACTCTGTAGAAAGCGCTGCAGGTTCTACGCATTTAGTCTAAACTGTTTCTTTTTAGTGCACTTCAGAGTGTGGTACAACCAGATCTGTTTTCCATGGTTAAAGTTTCCTCTGAAATCAGCACAGAAAATGTGGAAAGAAGTCCACCGATTCCTTTCGGGCCCTCGGGGTTGTGTGTTGGCGAGTAAGTTTGTGTACGTGTACAGACCACATGCAGAATTGCTGCAGCAGGCGTTCTCTGGTGGGTTGCCCTTCAGTGAAAGGAAATGTTTCCGGTTGGTCCAGCAGCCAATATCCTGTCAGTCAGCCCCTCTCTCGGGAAAGAAGCTTCATTAATATGTCATTGTGATTGTCATACTGTATTAAGATCAGCTGTGCTTAATATCGTCCTGCCCTGGGGCTGCTGTCATAGTGTTCTCACTGATCTTCTCTTACCATCTTTGAGTCCTGACCTACAGTAGCATGGGTGGAGTTAAGAAATAACACGGACATAGATGTTTGCCTGACAGCATGAGGTAGTTTCACTGTTTATAGAAATCTCAAGACACTTTCGCTGGCTGAAATGCACTATGAAAATAGAGTTGTTTGAGCGACCTGTGGAAGAAGGGGGCATGTTTGGGAAAACATTCTACACAATATGCTATTTTTGTAGTTCTGTTTGGCAACTTTAAAACAGTAGGACAGAAATTACACGGCTTCACTCCACTCTATTTTCATTGAATATTACAATGTAACTTATAGTTTACCAGTTGCCATTTAAAAAAATTGTTCTTTTTTTAAATTCTGGACATTTTACAGTGAAATGAAAAATCTTGTTTACATGTGACACTTTGCCTCTGATTTGAACTTTCTGCTAACCTACAAGGGCACGTAAACAGGAAACATGGGAACTTCTCTCTGGTTCTAGTGGTGAAAGTCTTTTCCTCTGTATAATGTTGACTCACACTGGTGGCAGCAGCAGATCAGTGCGGGCTGTTCTGATAATGCTCCACTGACACTAATGACTCCTCTGGCCTTTGTGTCGCTGGGAAATAGTGCCTAGTGTTTGTCACACCAGCTGCTTTACCAGCCTGTGCCAATCCTCGTTGTGCCTTAATAAGGTGGGATGTTTCATCATAGGGCAACTATGGAAAGAATGCTGGTAGTTTGAGAGGATGTTAGTATTTTTAAAATGTTATTTTTGATTGATGGAATCAAAATTGTTAGTTGATATTGCATGTTAAATAAGTTTGTTTTAGTCTTAAGAAATGCTCATGAAATTACACAAGACTTTAAAATCCTCTGTTGTGCAAGGACGCAGCATTGTGAGGTCTGTAAATGTCAAGTTTGAGCAAGACTGTGCTTGCCTGCACTGTCATACCAATTTTTTGGGTTGTGTAAAACACCCAAGAGGCTCGGACTAGGCTGGCAGTGCCTTCAAATCAATAGAGACACTCATGAAAAGAAAACATAATTAAAATAACCATATTTACTTTCTTAATGCATGTTCTTATTGTGATTTATCCCCATGCAGCGCTAATCAGCAGGCTAGCAGGCATCTTGCATTTAAACACATTTTA